ATAGCTCACATAATTAACCTCTCCATAAAACAGGGAAAAGTACCCAAAGACTTCAAAATTGCAAGAGTAACCCCCCTGCACAAAAAGGGCAGCAAATTGGACCCAGGCAACTACCGCCCTGTCTCTATACTTACCTCCATCTCGAAAGTCATGGAAAAAATAGTATATGAACAGGTCGAAAAGTACCTCGCGGAAAATAAACTAATCTATGAATTTCAATCTGGCTTTAGAACATCCCACTCCACTGCCATGCCTTCTTTATTTGAGCGACCACATCAAACAAGAGGTGGACGAGGGCAAGTACTGCGGCATGGTGATGCTGGACCTACAAAAGGCTTTCGACACTGTCAATCACCCCATTCTGATTGACAAGCTAAAAGCAATTGGTTTTGATAAACTATCGGTGAGCTGGATGCAATCCTACCTGGAGGGGAGAGAACAGATGGTGGAGGTAAACGGTACTCTGTCCCCCCCCCCCCTCCCAGTGAGCTGTGGTGTTCCACAAGGAAGCATATTAGGTCCGTTACTGTTCCTAATTTATGTAAATGACATGTCATCAGCATGTGACTGCAACTTGTTCCTGTTCGCGGACGACTCAGCCCTGCTGGTCTCTGACAGGAACAGGTTGCAGGTTGAAAAAACCCTCAGCTCCGAGCTCGGAAGAATCTGCACCTGGCTCGCCGATAATAAATTATCATTACACCTGGGTAAAACAGAGTCCATTCTCTTCGGTTCGAAACATAATCTCAGCAAATCCGACGACTTCTCAGTTGCAGTGGGCGACATTATTGTCACAAGTAAGAAGGAAATTACATACCTAGGATCTATTCTTGAGGCAAACCTCTCCTGTGACAAAATGGCATCCAATGTAATAAAAAAAGTCAATCAAAGAACTAGATTCCTATACCGGATCTCCTCTCTGGTAAACAAAAACACCCTGAAAACTCTGGCAGGAGCACTCATTCAAGGGTACTATGACTATGCTTGCACGTCATGGTACCCATAGCACCTCCAAGGCGCTAAAAATAAAACTTCAAACATCGCAAAATAAACTGGTCAGACTACTGCTTGACCTTTCATCTAGAACCCACCTCACCTCTGCCCACTTTGACAACCTAGGATGGCTTAGAGTAGACAACAGAGTACAGCTACTTGCAATGGGCCTGGTCTACAAGATCCACTACACCTCTATGGTACCCATGTACATGTCAAAATTCTTCCCAAAGGTCAAGGAATACCATGATCATAACACCAGAGGGAGCTCCACAAATCATGTGAAACCCAGATTTGGCACAAAAAAGGGGGAATACACGTTTCGCAATTATGCCACATCAAGGTGGAACGCTCTTCCCACAACTGTAAAGGAAAGTAAAACTATACTTACCTTCAAAACCTCTCTTAAAGAGCACCTTCGGGGGAGAGCATTGCAAAACTGGCCCCGGTAATGGTACAAATCTCAACCTGTCGTTCAATGGACAGCTTCCCCCCCCCCCCCATTTATGTATATACTCGCATTTTAGACTCTGTTACTAACTGTGTATCTGTAGACTTGGTATGTCTTAAATGTCCGGTTAGGATGTATTAGAACGAAATCTAAAATGAAAATTGTAAATAAGCAATCTGTATGTAAAAAACCACCTGTATGTAAATTGTAAATAAGCCATCTGTATGTCAAATATGTCTTATATGTCTTAAATGATATGATGAATTGGAAATGGGGGACCCTGATGTAAACAAGACGAAAGTCTTTCTCTGGTCTGCATCCCCTTAACAATTGTATGTTTTGAGCTGTACTGTACTGTACCCAATATACAAGCTGTTAATAAACTTTTCAATCAATCAATCAATCAATAGAGCCCTGATGAGAAGACTTCTAGACAAACATGAGGAACTGAAAACGTGACGTGGATCATAAATATATCAGCCATTAAACAACATCTTACATTTCTTTTCACACAATACGTCTCCTTGCAGTATCAACACTAATTCGGCTGACTTTTATATTTGATCCAATTGGTAGATAGGCTGTATTTACACCATAAAGGTGCACAGCTGATATAAAGGGACACCTAGTGGTTAAAGCATGTTATTGAATTTCATTATTTTTATTATTAGATATTAATAGGATCCCTATAAAGTATATTCATTACTCGTTATTCTCTACTAATAGTTAATTAAAGACTGTATATAATGACTATTTTGCACATCCCTTTCAAGATTTCAAGATTTTCTAAGGTTTATTGACATATCATATAGGCCTACACAACTATGGTGTAGTTATGCATTGAATGAAAAACTTCCTCAATAGTGCATTACAAGACATCAATATTTGTGCATACCTCCAGCAATGTTAACTATGTTGAAGCACTTATTTTAACTGATATTATACATAATGTATTATACTCTTATAAGATGTATGTAGATATTTCATCTCCGGCCTTGTCAGGTATTGAACAATCAATAAATAAAGAACACAGAATTGTTGAATATAAAACACAGAATTTGTGTGATTATACTAAATGATTTACAAATAAACACCACTGCATATTTAACTGTTACACATGCTGATGTAACGCAAATGTTCCAACTTGGGATCAATAAAGTATATTTTATCTTAAGCTGATCGATGGATACTGCCATATTTGCAAAATGTGCCTCTGAACCTTGACAAGTGCATGTTTCAGGCTTATCAATTAATGTAATGTAATGTAATGTAATGTTATCAATTAACAACAGGGGTCATAAACATAAGACCAGCTGTTAAATAAAGCTCTTCTGACCTTAGCTGGCATGTGTGTATATATATTAATGCTGCCCATTATGGGCACAAGCAATTTTCACCCATTTATTAATTATATGTTTTAAATGTGAGTGTTTCCTATCCCCTAAACCTCCAGGGATCTACACAGTTTAATACTGGCAACTTTTTATTATGGGAAATATGAAAACGTCTTTTAAAACTACAACTCCCAGTAGAGACGTGCCATAGATAGAGAACATGTTGCGAAACAGAATAGCCAGCATGTATAGTTTTGGGGACGGGGTGGGGGAGGGGGGGACGCGGTGGACCCGTTCAAATCCAGTTTTGGACAGTCTGCCGTGGTTCCATCCCATTTCAAGTGCTGTTCGAGGCTCGGCGTATCCCTCGGAGCACACTCTCCAATCACAGAGCTTGAGGACTATCACGGGGTTTGTCAAACAGAGCACATGGTGTAGTCTAAATGATAGCTGGGGATTCTGGGTAGTGTAGTGTCTTCTGCCATCCTTTACTCCGAAAAAATATTTGTTTCTCCGAATCGAAGGGGAAAAATACAAAAGCATTGCACACAATTTAAACCAATCAATGTTGTGTAATTAACAAGGATAATCTGGTGTTTTTTAGTCGATGAGTAGTGCAGATATCACTGTAAAATCAATCGACAGTAAGGGGAATACTTACTTCCGGGTGTATAATTCTCCGTTATCCAATGAGAATGGACGCTCACATTGCCTTTAAGGGCAGTCGACACAAACGAATGCCGTGCTTCCATGAGCGTCCATAGAAGCATATGGACATCCCGGAAAGCTGAAAATGGACGCTAAGGGCCCCCCCCCCCTTGCGTTAGAAAAAGCCGACACACGGGACTTGACATAACGTCAACATAGGCCGACCTGGGAGTGAGGATGTGTTGGAAAAATACTTCATGGCTGTTCAAAATGACCTTTTTCCTTTTTTTAAAGAAAATATTCTCTTGTTTTCGTTTAGCTTTCAATTAGTGAATGGCCAAATACACTTCAGCATGTCTTGAAATGTAACACCCATATTAAAGACTTGTTTTAAACTGGCCCTGATTTTCCAGTTCCCTATGTGCAGGCTCGGTACAAGTTTCCCATTTGAAAGATATACTTCTGCAATGTTCCCATACTGATATCCTGTCTCCCTTGGGTTTTACTTCCTCCACTATACTGCTATATCCCTAGACCCTGAAAGTATAAACTCCAGTCGTAATCTCCTTTGTTAAACTAATAACAAAGGAGTGTGGTGAAATCCCTTCCACCACACTCCTTTCTAACTGAATGAGGAATATATTAAACGTACCAAAGAAGATACCAGACCTATAAACTGGTGATGATTTCTCATTGGTGATCACAGCAGCCAAGAGGTTTCCTACTGAAAATGTACGCACCGTCTCCCCCTTGTGTTGAAGTTTTAACTGGCCATATGCAGCACTGACTTTTCAAGTCTGAAGAGTTTCTCCATTGACTTCCATGTTAAACATTTAATGAATGATGGGATATATCTCGGGAATTATGAGAGTTATGAATGAGAAAAGTAATAGCAATCGATTCCCGACCGAGTTGAACGTTTTGATGTTTGAACGGAGTTTCTGCGATGTGGAATGTGGGAGCAGAAGAGGGACAAAATAACCCGGCGGAATAAGAATAAAGAATGTGTGCGTAGAAGAACAAGTAGTTGGAATGCTTTATCAACATTCCCACTAAATAAGTAAACAAGGTAAATATTAAAACATTATATAAAAAGGTAGAAACAATCAAAGTTATATTTATCATCTCCTTATAACGCTGAAATGTGTAATAGCCTAGGCTACATTTACACAATGAAAAAGTTAATGATTAAGTGAAATATTAAAAGAAGAAGTAGCTCGACTATCATCACATATTTGACTAACCATGGTGTGATAGCTGCTGAATTAGCATTCACACAATTACTCAAAAACATAATAAATAGGAATGGCTGTGATGATGTCATGGGTATAGGCCTATTTCCAAACTTAGACTGAGTACGTGAGTGGGATATCAAAGTCAGTCAGAGTAACACTGTGTGTGTGTGTGTGTGTGTGTGTGTGTGTGTGTGTGTGTGTGTGTGTGTGTGTGTGTGTGTGTGTGTGTGTGTGTGTGTGTGTGTGTGTGTGTGTGTGTGTGTGTGTGTGTGTGTGTGTGTGTAGTGTAGTGTGCAGTAAATCCGTCCCTCTGCTCTTCACTTTCAATTCATCACAGTAGCCAGATGGAGGAGATGGAGGGGAGGGGTAACCCATGCATGTTCAGGATTATATAGTGTGTGCGCACTGAGCGGCAGCAGCAACAGTTTCTCTGCAACACAAAGTTGGCTACACAGAAAAGTTTAAATGGGAAAATACAAACCCTGGCAGGTGTGCTGCTTCATCTCGGCTGGTTTACTTTGCGCGGTTGCTCTGGTGTGTCTGTGCGTAGTCTCTCGGACAAAGGCGGACAAAGAGTGTCCGAGCGGCAGCTTCACGCGCGCTGCTGTGGCTGCAGACTCGCGACAGTGCTCCGAGATTGGCAGGTAAATCCTGTTTTGTTCAATAGTAAGAAACCACCAGTGGTGAGTTTGATCAGAGTTTGGCTTAACACTCTGTATCTTTGTATCTAAAAGCTTCAAATTAAAGAGTGAATGTCTGTTTTGGGGGGAAATTGGCAGAGGTAGCCTAGGCTAGATATTGTATTAAGGAATATTCTGTTACAAGTAAAAGTCCTCCATTCAAAATGTTACTTAAAAGGACAAAAGTATTACCATCAAAATGTAAAGTATAGGCCTACCAAAAGTAACAATTATGCAGATTTGCCCATTTCAGAATAATATATGCATGTTTTGATTATAGTTATTGATGTATTTATTAATATGTGAATCAAAGTGGTAAAAGTACGGCTATTTTGAATGACTTTGTATGCCGCAGGGTAGCTTGTGAATTTACTCCAGGTGTAACTAAAGTCTTATTCAAGTGTTATATTTCACATTATTAATCCAAATCTGCAAAGTAACTAAAGGTACTAAATACATGCAGCGTAGTAAAAGTAAAAGATAGAAGTACCAACCAACAAGTCCTTCAAAAGTGTACGTAAGTATAGAGAACTTGAGTACATTTACTAAGTTACTGTACACCACTGGAGATTGGAAGTTAAAAAATGTGTTGTTGTTAGATGTATTCCCATCACATGTAGGCTATCTATATTTAGAGTTTAGTTACTCAGAAACCTGCATGCTATCAGACTGCACCTCCCTACTCCTGCAGCAGTTGAGATAAAAAGCTGAACTGAGTAATGGGATAAGCCGTTTAAGAGATTTGACAGGCTCTGTTTGAGGAATAGAGATAATGCCTGCAGAAATGTCAGCAGACAAGTCATGATACTCCTCACCTCTTGTTGATGTATTTCCTGAACTATCTGTTGAATGTGAACATACCAGAAAATCAGATCTCATAGCCCACAAACTGATGTCACCTTTTGTAATGAGGAAATTCGTTTTTCATTTGATGCACTCCTTCATTTGTTCAGTGAGCCACACAGTGGAGGCCATTAATCTGTCACCATGATAACTCCAAATGCAGAATAAAGGTGAACGTTTCTTTTCAAACAGGAATGTGCATGAAGCTCTTCCTGCTTTTGAATTCAGTTGCAGAGATGTTTTTCTTCCTGTCCTTGTGTATATTTCCGAATTCACACCAGAGACAATGAATGTTCCTCTAATGAGTGACTTCTGAGGGCACTCTTTTTATTCTCTCCAACTATCTCATTTGCACAACACATTCTTCAGAGAGAGAAACCGTTGTGCAGCAGTTGCAGTACAACAGAGTCTCTCTAATCTGTATTCTTTCCAAACCCACGTTTTACTCGCACATATAACAGCTCAGATTTGACTAAATGAAATATAAAAAACTAAGATATGTCTAAATTAGTGTGTCTTTATCCACAGAGTATACAGCCATTTGGTCATGTTTGTCTTGCATATTGTCATATCCTATTCAAAACATTAATACGTTTATGCTTATCTACTAAAGACATAAACAAGTATAAACTAGTTCTGTCTAAAAGGTTCACATTAATCTCCTTTAAGTGGACTTTTCCTATTAGATTTGAGTTTATCTTTCTACCTCCTGTGACCTTGTCCACTGTTAAACCAATCAAACTACATGGCAGTATCATTTTGTGTCCCTCAGTTGACCAACAAAAGACCCATTCACTCTTTTGGAGACGTTTCAGAGTTTTACATGCTTGGTTATATAATTCAGTTTGATGAAAAAAAAAAAAATTAGTTGTAAGTAAGTAACATCTATTTATAAAGCGCTTTTCACAGACAGTCACAAAGTGCTTGACAAAACATTAAAACATCATAGGAATGATAAAATAATAAATGACTACACAAGCCATGTTAAAAACTGTTAAGTGATATAGTCCACAGTTGAATAGTTTAAAAGAAAGAAAAAAATGCCCCAGCATGAATGGCGTCTTCTTGGTATGCTGCCTCAACAACATCTGGCATCAGAACATGGTTTAAACTTGCCTTTTGGCAGCTCAGTCATTCTTTGAATCCCTGAAGCAATAAACCTGGAGTCTAGAGTGTTGCAATCATTCAAAGAAGAAAAAAAAGCACCCCTGTGTCTGTGTGTGAGCAATTATGTAGTGCGTGGTCATGTTGGTGAGAGTGTGGTGACATGAATTCAGTAAAATGATATGTTTTCCAGTAACATTCTACAGCAAGGTGGATCAGCAGTAGATGGCGCCATTGCAGCTCTTCTGTGCACGTCTGTGATCAATCCACAGAGCATGGGGATTGGAGGAGGATCTATATTCACCATAAGAAACAAAAAAGGTAAGTTTCTCATTCATTAGGGTGACCTCAAATGATAAAGGTTGATTCAGTTTATGAATCCTTATCTTTTCTCAGGCAACGTTAAAGTGTACAACTTCAGAGAAACTGTCCCAAAGTCTATCAAAACAAACCTGTTAGATGACTGTCCCACCTCATTCGGACTGACAACAGGTAGGCAGAATTGTCCATCAGTGTATAGTAATGCACCTTTCCTACCCATGCTTCCTCTTATAGTCATAGCAGAATCATTCCTGTAACTCTGTGTTTTACGAATGGATTATTTGGCTTATTTTCAACATCCTCACAATTTTTTCCTTTTGAGATGTCCTCTAAATAGTGAACACTAATCCAAACACATTCAAACACAACAAATAGATTCGAGGGAAACACATCTTAAGTATCTTAAGTCGCTTACATATTTTTAACATCACAGCATCTCTTATTGCTGAGGTTAGATGTTGTTTTCTAGCATTAAACATTTTAAACATGGAAATGTATTTATTGAGTTAAACCAAATGTTTTCTTTATTGCTTTATTTTTCACGTCAGTCCCGCTTTTTTTTTGTATCATTGTTTTTTCCCATCATTGGTTTCATGCAGCTTTATTGTTTTACCCCTTGCAGGCAGCCAGTGGATCGGGGTTCCTGGAGAGCTGCGGGCCTACGAAGAAGTTCACAAAGAGTACGGGAAGCTGCCTTGGGCCAAGCTGTTTGAACCAACAATCAAATTGGCCAGAGAGGGCTTCCCTTTGCCGGCGTATCTGGGAAAACTTCTGCAATCCCCTATTGTGAAAGGTCACGTGGAGAAATCATCTATCTGGTACAGCATCTCACTTTCTGCTTATAGTGGTCAAGAGCTTTTCCAAAAATTAGAATATCTACTTACTGATGATCATAAAGGTTTTAGGGCACTGACAAACACTAAGCTTTTACTCATCAGTGCAGAAATCCTGGAGCAAAGGGCTTTCCTATAAATCCCTGTTTTAACTCATTACATGCTGGTTTATAGCCCTGAGTTAACAATTGACTATTTCATGAGTGTTTAAGTTTCAGGGTTTCACATTGCATAATAGTTTCACCCAGTCCACACGCTCATTTGAACACTTTTTGCATTGGTGAACATGATTGTTATGTTCTACAGGCACATTCTTGTTCTTAGCATAACATTTCAGGAGCAGGGATCACCTGGAGATACAAGCAGTGCTCACCTTCTTTTAGAAATATTTGTTTGAAATGTGGGTTTTCCTGAGCAAAAGAGAGAGATTAGCTGGAAGTGTGGTTTAAAAAGCCTGAATGGACATGATTGCCTCTCTGCCTCTGCAAAAGCTTGCACAAAAATGCAGTAACAACTTCCCGCAGGACATTTGAGATTATTTATTGATGAGTGTGCACAAAAGACGTATGTGATTAAATATAAATGGCATGAAATGATTGTCACTATTAGTTAACAAAGAAGACCAGAACGGTCACAAATTACACAGATGATGAAGTGCAGCATTACCTAAATTGTAATTGCTTTAATATGTTCTGACTTGTGCTTTTACATCAATGCTCTTTTCCAGTGACATTTTCTGCAACAAAAACAGAACCGTTCTGCGCACAGGAGACAACCTCACGTTTCCTAAACTTGCAGATACCATGGAAACAATTGCAAAGCAGGGGGCAAAGGCTTTTTACTCTGGCAAGATAGGACAAGACTTAATCCAAGACATAGAGGCTGCAGGTTGGTGCAATTGTTGGGGTCTACACTTAAATGGACAGAAAAATACATCTAACGTCAATCTGAAAATGAAAGATTTCAAGCTGTTTGTACATGTTTCTCCTAGGTGGGACTATGACGATAGAGGATCTGGCGTCCTTCCAGGTGCGGGTGGAGGATGCATGGACAGTTTCTCTGGGAAGCACCAAGATGCACCTCCCTCCACCTCCTTCTGGGGCCCCCCTGCTGGCCTTCATACTCAAACTCATGCAAGGTTTCATGTATCATGATAACTTTCCTGCAATTCCTTAAACTGACACACTGTAGCAGCTGCATGACAGTCTAGCATTTTAGCTCTATACTCTGAATAATAAAAAAATAGTAAAGCATAATAGTTTTAAAAAGTGTTATTTTTGTGTATTTTCACAGGGTTTCCCTTCAATCAAAACTCCCTGAATGTTGACCAGAAGATTCAGATGTACCATCGCTACATAGAAGCAGCTAAATTTGCTAATGGACAAAAGAGGAACATCAACGATCCCTATTTTAATGACAAAAAGGTTTGATTTTCTTTTCTTTATTCTTAGAGCAAAAGACTATCTCAAGGATTCGAGATTCAAGGGTTTTATTGTCATATGCACACTCACAGTAGCTACAATGTAGCTATAGGGCAAGTAAACAATATTGAGTCCCAAGCTCCTCCAACAATGCAACATATTATATATAGGACATAAGACAAATACAAAACATAACAATAAAAATAGTACAAAATGAAAGAGTACAATAGATTAGAATAGAATAGTGCAGGTTATGTTGCAAGACCAGTGTGCAAGTAGTGCAGATGAAGTTGACTATATACATGCCAGAAAAATGAATAAATACAATAAGCTAAATGATGCAGAGAATGTTGAAAGTGACAAAGTAAATGCAGGATTCTATGTACATGTAATTAGTCACGCAGTCTGAGGTAGACTTAAAATATTAGTTATACACAATCAATAATATAATCAATCAATATATACAATGTTGAATGGCCCAAAATTATAATATATAAAAGCAGGTTTATTAAAGAAAAAGCCAGAGTGGTTTGAGTTAAAGTTTGGAAATACACTTTTTTAACAGTTTAATGAGAAGATTGACACCACTTTCAACTGTAAAAGGTATCAATCTTCTCATCTAACACTTAATAATAATAATAATAATAATAATGACTTGAATTTATATAGCGCCTTTCATAACCTCAAGGTCGCTTTACAGGCAGGAAAATGTCAAAACTGTAGAAATAAAGATACTTTCTATATAGTTGATTTGTGTCGGCCTGGTGACCTTGTATGTCAAACCCCCTTTCTTCTCCATATGCTTTCTGTTTCTATGTACACTGTAAGATACATTTTAAAGGTCAACTGAAAAATCCACTTTTTAATGTCTTTGCTACATAAACATGTGTCCCCTCCACTATACTGCTATATCCCTAAAAGATTCTCTCTCTTTTTGTCCTGATCCATTTATATAAAAACCTGTCTGAAAATGAGCTGATGAGATTTGGCCACTTTATGATGTCAAAATGTTTTTTGGGTTGAGCAACCATTAGCAAATAACCAACCAAGGTAACACCCACCCACCTTATCAACTGAATCTCTTCCTAGAGCACTATTGCGCAAATAATAACAAAAACATTTTTCAAAAAAGTCCCTCACCCCAGCTTTTTCCAGTTTCATTATGATGTTTTTCTTTCAGAGTGCAGTTCATTTGATCCAAGACTCCTTCATCAATAGCATCAATGACCGGATTTTTTCCAACCTGACCCATGACAACTCATACTACAACAATACCAAGCCGTCCCGGGATAATGTCGGGACGACACACGTTTCTGTCCTGGATGAAGAAGGACTGGCTGTCTCTGCCACCAGCACCATAAACCAAGTGTAAACACAAAGCTTGTGATTTCTACTTTATCTACTTTATATTATTTCAAATTGCTAAGTCTACTGTGTTTTGTTTTGCAGTTTTGGAGGAGGTGTTTACTCTCCGCGAACAGGCATCATCCTGAACAATGAGCTGTTGGACTTCTGTCGCAGAGCGGACACAGTGAGGGCAGGTAAAGTCACATAAACGAGGACTTTCGATTGCAATTTCAATCTCCTTTCAGTCTGATATGGAGTGTGATTGTTGTTGCAGGTGAACAGCCTCCTTCCTCAATGACTCCGGTAATACTGGAGTCAAAGTCTGGAGGACTTTTTGTGATTGGTGGATCGGGAGGAAGCTTGATAACCTCAGCAGTGGCCTTGGTAATTTTGATTAACCTGTTTGCAAATTGGTTAACAACTTCCTCATCTGTGTGCTTACATGGTTCTTTGTTTAATCTTTGCAGTCTATGATAAACCACCTGTGGCTGGGGATGAATCTGAAAGACGCCATTGCTGCGCCTATAGTGTTTGTCGATTCCAATAATAAAGTGAATTTTGAGCCCGGTTTTAACAAGGTGAGATACTCATGTGCTCACTGGCCATTCATTACATTTAGATTCACCCGACTGTGTCGTCTATCTAATGAAAAACATTTCATCTTATGTTAATGTGTTCTGACAGAGATAGCCACAACATAATTGTACAAAGTCTGCCTCAATCTACCTTTAATCATCTTTGGAACCGAAGTGGGGAGGATAAGCGGCATTAATGTGTGTGTGCGTGTGTGTGTGTGTGTGTGTGTGTGTGTGTTTTGTGTGTTCTCAGTCAGTGATAGAGCGCCTCACCACTCTTGGACACAAATCTGGGAACTGGAAATTCTTCCTAAATGTAGTCAATGCTCTGGAAAAAGATAATGGATGTATTACTGCTGTATCAGACCTCAGGAAGGACGGGAGGTCAGCAGGATACTGACCAAAGAAGACCATGAAGAAGCACCTTCCTGTAAATATCTGCACTAAAGATTGACTCAACCTTTAGGTCACCTATTATGCAAAATCCACTTTTTCATGTCTCTTCTACATCAACATGTGTCCCCTGTGTGTAAAATGATTCTGAAAGTTTCAGGAAAAAAGATTCGCTCACTTTTTGTCCTGATCCATTTATATAAAAACCTGTCTGAAAATGAGCTGATCAGATTTTGGCCACTTTATGATGTTATAACGATTTTTTGGCTTGCGAGACGTGTGAAAGATTGTAAGCAGATGTGGTGAAATATGTTTGCTCCTCATTTACCTCAATCTATCACAATCACTCCTTTTTCTAATGCCTTGTTTACTGTGCAAGTAAGGTAACACGGGGTGAGTTAATGGGCATTTTAGAGGTGAAGTATTCCTTTAAAAACAAAAATGTGCCTTCAACAAAATGTGATCCCTTTAACCCTTGGTGCTCAGGCTCTTCAGTGATGACCTACATCATCAATCAAGAAACTATTAATGATGTCACTGGTGTCGCCATTGTCATACTACTTAAAAGAGGCTCTATTATGCTTCTCTGTTTTTTCCCTTCCTGGTGTGTGTTATAGATTTGTGTTCATGTAAATGGTCTGCAAAGGCTACACATCCAAATGTCCCTTTCCAGAGGCAGTTTCTCTCTCACACGCTGACAATGAGCATAATATATCCTCTTTAAATGACGTGGACTGACATAATACACCATGATTCCTCGTACGTGTATTACCTGGTAATAAACCTGTTTCTGATTCTGATTTTGATGAACTGCTGATATACTGCTGAGATCTGCTATAAAGCTCTGTGGGATTAAACAGTATATTGCAGCAGCAGTCCATAAAGGCAACTGTGTTCAAAAGAAAAGTATTTATAAAAATGTTTAGAGAACCAATTATCAGAGAATGTTTTATTTCCTCACTGAATTTTGTAGGATTTTTTATTGAGCCATGGAATCCTTTTTACATGTAAGTGACTTCTGACTTACTGTGACCTTAAAAATGTGAGACTGTATGTGAAACAACATTATTTCCTGCGCATATTGTGACCTTTTTTTAAAGCGAATAAAATGCTGTAGAATTTCATTAAACACAATATATATATATATATATATATATATATGTGTCAAGTTGATTCACAGTTAACATTATCTAAAGAAAAATACTTTATTTTCATACCAACAACATGTTGTTTTCTGTGTTTAATATCTGAAAATGTTATGTATAATAGTAACACACTTTTTTACAATTATCATCTGTGAATATTTGTGATTTCACAATAAAGACAAATCTGAACAAAGATGAGTGATTGTCACCAGATGTGCTTTTCAACCAAAAACACAGCTTTGAATAGTTTGAGTTGCATATCTCAAAAGTTCATTATGACTATGTGGGAGTCAGATTATGCTTAATTGGGCCTTCAAGGAACATTGTTGTGTGACTTGATCATTTCTGCATTTATCCTCTCCTAAGTAATAATGAAACCTCAGCAGGTGGTGCAAGTCACTAATTTTAAAAAGTACTTGCAGTTTTCAGGGCCAATACGCATAGCATTAAAGAAGCCCTATGTTGTGCACCGGCAAAAGTGTTAGTCATGTAAATGTCAGTAAACTTCCAAGTTATGCGAAAGTGTAAGCAAAGCATAAATTACAGCTACGTTGACGTTACTTTGAATCGCGGGGGTAAGCTAAACCGTTAGCAAGTAGCTAGCCAGATATATTAAATACAATCTAAATGTAATGTTTTTTAGCGTTACCTGGTGATTTCAAAGAAAGCTCTCTGGGAAATGTTGACTTACTGTTCGACATGAAGCTATACTTACAGTACACAGTTGACCCTGAGCAGCGGCGCCGGATTCATTTCAGAGACTCCCGTTTTCCTCCCGGGGTCATATTTATCCCGCATTTATCCCGATTTCTGACTAAATCTGATTTGTTTCATTCTAACATAACGCACCAAATGTTACTGTTTCCACTCGGACTTCAATACAGCTACACCATTGTTTGGTTTCCATGGTAACGTGTCTCTTTAGTAGCGCGAGCAAATGAAAGTCTGAGAGGGTCTTCAGGAGGAAGATAGTCAGAGAAAACAGAACAAGAATGGACAACTTGACCCTCTGCTCACTCCTTTCCTGTAAATTAAACTATACAGACCAGCCCACACATATGACAGCGCAGTTGCTCATTCCATCTCTTCTTTTTTCCTGCTACGCTCTTGTTTGACAAGCTGAATGTTGACTGGTGTTTGACTGAAGTAAGCTCTGTGAACAGTTCCAGTTATTAACTCGGTATTTACAAAGCTGTCATCTCCACATTTGGAGAAAGTTACAAGCCGTTTGACAGCAGCACATCTGCATATTTCACAGAAGGCTCGTTTAGTGGTTTTGCAAATAATTAACCACTCTCTGTTTTTGTACCATTCTGCATTGAAGTACCTTCTCTTTGCCCAAATAAGCTTGTATTTGCCCGTCACAATGTCCCGACAACAAACCTCCATGCAGTCGGAACCAGCCTGTTTCGGTTCAACGATGCCGGCGGCGGCGGTTTTGACAGCCTCTGCGGCCGCAGAGCTGCTGCTGGTTCATATGGCTGCGCTGGTTCTATGGTTGAAGGACCAGGCTCCGGAGTTGTGGATGTCAGGGATGTGACATTCAAGTTGTTGAATTTCAGCTTAGTTTGACTGTATTTTGTTTTCTTATGCGCCGGTTCTTCTGACATGTTTGCAAGTTTATCTATCTAGGTTAACGGCTGACACACACTGAAGAACGTAGGCCAACACATAACGTAAACAACGTAACAAATAAACACATCTAAGCTTTGTTATTGGTTGTAATGTAGGCTACATGGATACATTTGAATGGTGTGACAATGTCCTATTTGATTGGATTAAAATGTACATATTCTTCCTGTTATGTCTGCCTGATGTATTTTACCTAATGCAAAGTGACTTGCTCCATCGAAATCAGTCGCATTGATCCGAAGACACATTTTGAGTTGTAGGCCTATTTGGAAAGAGGAGATTCCTAGCTTTCTAATGATATCAGGATTATTTTTGTACTATATTAACCCTCTGGAGTCTAAGGGTATTTTCTCGATTTTTAGAGGTTTTCTTAAATCACCTTTTAAATGTATTTCTTCTAAAATGGCACATGTGTTACATATCAAAATGTTCAGGACAATCTCTGGTATTGCTATATATGCAAATTACTCACCTTAGAGCACTGTTTGATGAGATAAGTAGCTCAAAAGCTTAAAATGTGACATCCGATTTTCGGAAAATCTTCAAAACTCTTGTGAAAACACAAATTTACTCATGTGATCGAATTGTTTTGGTGTTTTAGATTTGGTTACCAAAGTCTTAGGATTACAAAAGTAGGGAAATATTTGAATTACACTGTATATAAATGTGTTATTCATGTCTAAAATGACATTTTATAAATTCGAATTCTGAGTAAAACAGCTGTCAATCACTCTACTTTCACCACAGCAGGGACTGAGATATATCAGGACTGAATAATGACTTACAACAAGGTTCATGTGATGTGTAAAAAAAAAGAATTGAGCATTAGAACTTTTTTTTTCAAACAACAATTTATTATAATACCAACAATGTATATAAATATAACTGCAAAATCTCACTATCTACAATATTGAACATCAGAACTTTTTTTCCTTCAACCAACTATTCATTATACACTGACAAAATGATCCTTCCTCCAGTAGTCCAATACATTGTCCAATTTCAGCAGCCCCATGTATTTATAGAAATCCTCTACAGTCAAGTCAGTCCATTTGTAGGTTTTACCCTTTCCCATCTCCTGTGCAGCCCGCTTGTTTGTGTTGGTACAGAGTGTCTGTACTGTTAGTGCACTGAAGAACAGCTTGAACAGGTCAAGGGGTTTGTTTGATACTGTTGAGCTGAGCTGTGGCCCGGGTGTGCGAGCAGGTTGAAACCTGGAGACAGGGGGAGCAGTGTCAGGGTCTTCGCCTGTCTTCCAAGACAGTGGAGCTGGCTGCTGTGCAGGTGGGGGTGATGGTGCATGGTGTGGCTGTGTGGGAGGTAGGTGTGCTCTACGAGACCTCTTTGCTGTCCGGGTTGATGGTGATGGCTGTGGTGGAGCTGAGGTGTATCTTGACCTCGTTGCAGGCAGAGATGGAGGCAGCTGTCGTGATGCTGGTCCGCTAGTGCTTGGTGGGGATGGCCCTTGATCCACGGTAGATCTCAACATGGTGGCAGGCACAGCTGGAGGCTCTGGATAAATGTCATCTGTGGGCCACTAGGCCCAGGCAGCTGTGAAACCTCTCTGTAAAACAAATACAAATTGTGGGACAATAATTATTACGAAGTTCAACACACACACACACACACACACACACACACACACACCCCCCCCCCCCCCATTACTACATAGCACTCCCCACAAATGGCAGGCACACATATAAATAAATTAAATGTCTCCGTTGTGGGACAAATAAAGGATTATCGCATGCATCTACACATGTAACCTTACTTATACACACCAAAATAACGTTTACACATAAATGAAGTTTATCACAGACACACATGTAAATAAGTCTATGACAAAGTCTCATCTGTACAGAACAGTATGATCAAATAAAATACACGTCTATAAATGTCTCCGTTGTGGGACGAATAAAGGATTATTTTTATTCATCTACACATGTAACCTTACTTATACATGCCAAAATAACGTTTACACATACATAACATTTACACAGAGTAAACGTTTACTAATCAAGAGTCTATTTTGTCCCGAGAAAAAGTTCATGAGGGGAAAATAAAAAGGTTGATAAATCCATTGTTCATTTTCGCGGTACTCCTCACAAAATGGCAAATGCACTACAAGTTATATTTACACTTACCCATCCTCAAATGGATCCCTGCTGTCCCTGTATTCTTCTTCTTCAGAAGAGTCGAAGCCTACAGGTTCTAATGAGCCATCTTCTTCACTGCCGCTCGCGAAAATAAAATCCAGCGCGTCCGCAACGGTAAAGTTCCTTCGAGCCATTTTCTCTATCTTCTTCACAGACTAAAAGACTGAAACTGATGGGAGACACCTGTTATATGTTTTTTTATTGGTGGGTAGGTCCTTAGATTTCTAGAGTGTCCATTGGTCATTTCAGACCGACAGAGATGTCCTTGACTGACACACAAATCACATTCAGTAGGCTTGTTTGAGACGCGTTGCGGCTCGCCTCGAAAGTAGACGAGAATAGCCGATCGCAGCCGGGGGAGGTCTCAAAAAGCTCGCCTGAAGTCGGACAGCTCGGAGTCCATGCTCGGAGTCGGCTTCGTCTTCTTCTTCTTCTCTCGGTTTTTTGGCGGATTGCAAACAACTTTAAGGTGCATACCACCACCTCCGGAGTCGGCTTGACTCGGTTTGCATTTATAAAGAATGCACACATGTGTTTAATCGTTAATGTCAGATATGTACTAAGTAAATACATTTGTTCCTGCTCCAGATTAGATTCAACTTTATTGTTATTGCACATATTACAGGTACTGAGACAACGAAATGCAGTTTAGCTTCTAACCAGGTGCAACAAGCAGTAAAGTGAAAAGTAATGTACACAATCTACAGAATAACATATAGAATGAATTGAATGATGAATAAACAGTGAGGGCTATGAATACACTAGATATACACAGCAGCCTGAGAGCAGTATGAACAGTGTGTATGAATATGCTAAGATATATAAAGTATGAAAACGGTAAGCAGTGCAAGTATAGTATAAAATATATAGATATTCATTTCATGATGATAAATATTGTGGAACAATGATGAAAAATGTGAATGGAAGTGGCGACGTAAAACTGACACAAAACAACAACAACATTTTGCCAGCCAATTGGAGAGTTTCATCACCAGCACGTGGTAAAAACCACCAATGAGCGCTCAGCTCGAGATACCAGCGAGCCGTTTCCCATCAAGCATTTCGCTTCCGCAGCCCGTGGAGAGCAACTGCGCCAACTCGCCTCGCCTCGCTCTCAGGCTGCGGGCGTCTTTGTCCCGCGAAATTTCAAAGTCTCATGTGGGCGGGCCTCCAGAGCAAGTCGGACAAAATGACTAACCATCATGCAACGCACTAGCAAGA